CCGTCCGATGCGATGAACCTGTATACGGGTAAGGATTCTAAGGAGCAGTTGCTCTGGCTTTTCTCTGGAATRAGGATCTTCGTCTTGACTGATTGTGTGTGCTCCTTCCGCACAGGCACGTTGGACTCCTCTGCCGCTCGTCAGCGGGAAGGACTAGATGGGAGTTGTCTCTGAAGTCGGTGGTGTTCGGAGTTGCTGATTCACTGTGAACTCTCCTTTTTAGCAAAGAGGTGTACGCTTGTGCAGTGCCATGCCKTGCCAGGTGAGGATTAGGGGAGAGAGAAAGAGAGAGAGAGCAGGCACACGCAGAGAGAGAAGGGCAGGGACTGCGAGAGAGAGAGAAAGAGAGAGAGAGCAGGCACACGCAGAGNAGAAGGGCAGGGACTGCGAGAGAGAGAGAAAGAGAGAGAGAGCAGGCACACGCAGAGAGAGAAGGGCAGGGACTGCGAGAGAGAGAGAAAGAGAGGGAGAGCAGGCACACGCAGAGAGAGAAGGACAAGGACTGATAGAGGGATGGAGAGAGAGCCACTGTTTTGCTAGTCTTTTTATTTTATTTATTTATTATTCTTATTTATTTCTTTAATCTTATTTAAATAATTAGYATTCTATCGTACTCTCCCTAATTGCTGAAGAGCGCTGTGCGACGACGGGGCCTGACAGATCTTGTACTCGATTGGCCCTTTCACCCTGCTGGTCGCCGAGGACCTCGGAGCGGGCGCGGCGAGTGACAGGCGTCGTAGCCCATGGCTTCAGCGAACGGTAGGTAGCCCCTCCCCGGGTTTCCTAACAACGTACTGACCGAGCCAATCCAAGCACCTACCGATCGAGCCACTTCAGGCACCTTCCAACCAAGCCACTCGAATCGCATTCTTCTTTTTTTTCTCCTCTGTGTCTCTCTATTTGTGTGTCTTTGTCTCTCTCTTTCCTCTATCTCTCTCTCTCTCTCTCTCTTTCTCTCTCCCTTTGTCTGTCTCTCTATGTGTGTTCCGTTTCTTGAATTCGTTAACAATGCTGAAATTTATCAGTTGGTTTGGGCCAACTTCTTTTTTTTTTTTTTTTTTTTTTTTTGCTGGCATTGCCCACACCGCCTGCACCGTGGGCGTTTAGCTAGTAATCATAAACCAAAATGGGGGCCTACAGTGGTTTCTCCTCCACCCTTATGTCCCCACAACCTTGTGGCTTCACTTGTGGTGGGAGTGTGTCATTGCGAGAGGTTTTTGGGAATACTTAAATTATCTCTGGTTTAGAGGATACAGGGTCTCAAACTTCTGGAATAAGGATTTCATTATCACAGATCACTCATCCCCTGCTCTGAATAGGTAGCAGACTCTCTGAATGGCTTTCTAGAATAGACAAACAAAACCCCACCTTTCCTCCTTACTCTCTCAGTTCAAACAACAATCAGATTAGATATCATGTCTGATTGGACTGAAACAAGAACAATCATGATGATCCTGAACTCGCAAAATTGTCCTTTCAGAAAACATGGTCTTCTCATACTAGTGGGCAGACTTCACTAATAACTATTCAGATTTGTTATGGGATCGCCCTTTTCCCAGGCCTGGTTGAGCTTCTTCCATCCGGCAACTTTGTAGCTGAGTGGGTCAAATTCTACCGAAGCCTCCCACCTGCTACTTCATTATGGTTGGACACAAGTTCCTGCCCCTTCCTCCTTTAATTTCCCCTCTCCTGTGACAAGTTCCCTCCTACCTTCAGCCTCTACACATTCTCTGAAGTTACTGGTGTTTATAAGTGAACTTGGTTCGTGCTCCTGATAGTTTATTTTGCCTTTCTTCCGGGTATATTGTGAGGTCCCTGACCTCTAAACAGTGGGACGCTGAGCCTGGTTCCTAACAAGTGCAGCTCCCCATGAATAGACTGGAGCAGTTAGCTGAATGGTTAGAGCACCGGTTGGAAATGCGCATTGTGGTATGAGGTTGTGGGTTCAAAACTCAATTGCAGCCTCGCACATGGACACCAGCAGGGCGTTAGATTGACGCACGGTTGTACATACACTCCCTTGGGTTGACGTATGGTACTATTACAGACACTGCTTGCGCACCACCCAAGGGTTGTTTTATGGTGTTGTATGTTGGTTCTGGGTTTCGCCCAGGTTGCTTGGGGGTGTTGGTCTTGGGTGTTTTGTTGATCTCCAAAGTCTTGCATATCACACGTTTGTGCCATTTTCGATAGTCGTTCATACGGTAGAGTCATTCCATTACGTGTTACAGGGTTATGGGTTCGAGCTTGGTTCGGACCTTGGGGGGGGTCCTTGTCCAGCTTGCCCCGTTCTCTCTTCGATATACACACATGATACTGCCTGTATATCTCGATACATAGATTCACAGAGCCGACACAACCTTCGGGGCATACACATAGCTTGCGAAGTATACATGACCTACAGGACACATACACAAGTTTCCACACATGATGTTGTCTGTACATCTCGATACATAGATTCACGAAGCATACACAGACTTCGGGTATACACATAACTTGCAAACTATACAACTATCAGCCTGGGTGGTTCTAGCCACTGGGTGGTTCTAGTCACTGGGTGGTTCTAGTCACTGGGTGGGCTCGAGTATCTGCGGTAGGTTCAGGCAAGGGGTTCCTACCGACATTCTGATAGAACTGCCTGGTCGCTATGTAAGGCTTAGACCCTAGGGTAAGGGTAGGGATATAAGTCGCTCAGGCCAGTTCGAGTTACGCCTGGCCTTGGGTAAGCTAAGGGAAGGACAGTGAGACTGCTTCAGTGGGTGCTACCCGGTCTGAACCTAGAGTCTAGAGTCTCTTAGCTGAGGGTCTGTGGTAGATTGTCTTGGCCTGGCGTCCAAAGTTCTCGTTCAGGAAGGCTCGTCCGATTCTGCTTCCACCAGGGTTGGGCAACCTATACGCCCTGGTGCCTATCACTACTGTTCGGTCCAAGTTGCCTGCCCATTGGTAGGGTAATGGTCCTGAGTGTTGGTCACACTGAGGTAAGATAGTGGGATAGGGGGTGCGCTATGAGTATTGATGTGAGGATGGGAGGGGAGGTGGTCTCATACTCGAGGACACCCACGGCCCACTGCTCCAGGTGATCTGTTGCATACCCGTGAGAATATCAACGTGTATGGGGCAGAACCAAAGATCAACCAATATAGGATGAGCATGTATGCAGCGGAAGTCTGAATAACGGACTGACTCACATAGACTGACTCACACAGATATAACTCCACACACATACAATCGTGAGATGGTGGGGTCTAAGCCATACATGAAAGATGCTCAGGCCCCGTACACACATACACAGATGAAAGGTGGGAGGAGAGACGAAGGAGGTGGGGGAGGTAGATAGCACCGAAGGTCACCGAAATAGAATCCGATAGGTCACCGATATGGTAGTCCAAAATGTCATCAAACAAGATCAAAATGTCGAGGACAATAAGTCACCAATGTCGGAGATACAGAGTCCAAATGTAACCGGTGTCCGAACTGTGATGCCGCCGAGTATCAACCCCAACAATCTCCAAGTCTCGAATCCGGTAAGTACCACAGTCTCATACCACCGAAGTCCAACACTGATCTCTGTCCAACTAGTATGAAGTCTCCAACCTGAAGAAGAAGAAGAAGAAGTCTGAAGAAGAAGAAGAAGAAGTCCGAAGAAAAAGAAGAAGAAGAAGAAGAAGGGAGTCGAGGAGGAGGGAGAGAGAGAGGGGACTGGCGACGGGAGGGAGGAGAGAAACCCCCTGGCTCCCAGTACCTCAGGCGGCTATGGCCGCCGATATGCCCAGTCCCGCTGCTGCTGCTCCGCTCGCTGCCGCTGCTGCTCCTCGCACTCCTGCGCTAAGAATAGCGCTAGCGCTCTGGCGCTAACCATAACGCACCGCATGGACTGCCGGTGGTTCGACGGTCGGAGTGAGGCCGGACCGGTACCTTTGTACCGGTGGGCAGAGGCCGGCCTCTATGCTGCGAGGCCTGGCCGTGCCCTGAACCGTCCAGATGGACGGTTCAGCCCCAACTGGCGGGCGGCAGCCTCAAGATCGCCGCCAGGCCCAAACGGTAATGTCGTTTGGGCCTGCCCGTCGGGTCTGGTCCAAGATGAGGCCTTTACGGCCTGTAGCCCCCAAGGTCGGGCCTTTAGGCCCTAATGTGTCCCTCTGGTCCTAGGTCGGGTCCGGTAGGACCCGTGTGGCGTCGAAGATGTAACACACTCCCGCTCTTAAAAGATCGAGCTACTTGCGAGGGCGAAATTGTCTGTCCGAAACCGGGATGGGTCGGGTGGGACGAGCTGTTTCCTTGGCAAGGCATCGCTTCTCATAGTCGGCGAAGATAAGGGGTGCAGAAGTCTGCAAATCTGCACTAGAGATCCACCGAGTGTCATCAGGCGCACATTGCTTGAATGTGACTTTGTACTGCATTGGCTTGTTGCCATACTTGCAGTGCGTGATGACTCGGTCCGCTTCCTGATGTCCGTCCATAGAAGGCGGATCCTGTGATCGACGGTCGGGGAACTCGTCAGCTGAAGGTGGAGTGTAGATGGCCAGCTTCGACACGTGGAAGACCCGGTGCACTGTAAGGTGCGGAGGAATGTTGATCACGAAGGAAGGACCTGCGGGGTCGTCTCCAATGACAGAAGTGACTTCCCATGGTCCGAACCATTTCGGAAGGAGTTTCCGCGAAACGTCCTGCTCGAGCGCAAATTCCTCGGAGAGGACCGAAACAAGGTCTCCCTCGCGGAAAGGACATGGAAGTCGACGTCGGTTAGCTTGTTGTTGCATGCGGATTTGAGCCTTTTGCATATTCGCGCGGGCTTTGATCAGCAAGTCCCGGTACTTCCGATAGGAAGCGGGAGAGCAAGGGACGTCTATGTGGGCAGCCTGTGGCAAAAGGAGATCAGCGAAGATCCGTGCTTTCTCTCCACCATGATGTAGCTCGAATGGTGTGACGCAGATCGCCGGGTGCACCGAAGTGTTATAGGCAAACTTGATGTCGGGAAGCCGGTCAACCCAATCTTTCTGGTCGGGACGGATGAGCGTACGCAACATCATCTGAGCGGTCTGGTGCGCTCGCTCCGTCTAGCCATCCGTCTGCAGGTGCCGAGCCGAGCTCGACTTCATTGTCGTACCGGACTCAGCGATGAGGGAAGTCCAAAAGGCCGACATGAAGCGAGTATCTCGGTCGCTCACTATGTCTTCCGGAACACCCTGGTTGGTAATCCAGCCGGTGTGCAAGAGTCGTGCGAGCTCCGGCGCTGCAGCATGACACTTGCAAGGAAGAAAGCGAGCGTACTTGCTCAAACGGTCAACAACCGTGAGAATACCGTCATGGCCATGGCAATCACGGCGGAACGGGCCTGTTACGTCCATAGCAATGGAGAGGCGCGGTGCCCGAGGAATCGGCAAYGGTTTCAGTTCGCCGAAGGGGACTCGAGATGGACCCTTGTTACGGTGGCAAACAGCACATGACTCAATGTACCTCGTGACRTCATGAAGGACGTCGGGCCAGTGAAAACGCTGGCGGAGGCGTGCTAATGTGCGGTTCACGCCAAGGTGTGTCGAAAGTCGTGCGTCGTGGAATTCGCCGAGAAGACGAGTCTGTAAGATGCGATCTTGGGGCACAACTAACAAGTCCTTTCCTCTCGTGTGAAGGAGAAGGAACCCGTCGGAAATCCGATAGTGGCTAGCCGGCGGATGATCCGATGAAAGCTCTGCATAATGCGTAGAGTAAGTCGGATCGGACTTGTAGCCTTTGACGAAATGCGGCTGCAGATCTTCATCGAGGTCGAATGTCGCGGTCACAATGGCACAAAAGTCGGGCCGTCGTGAGAGGGCATCTGCAGCTCGATTGGCGGGACCAGGAATGTGGCACGGGTCAAAATCAAACTGGTCGATGTAATACATCCATCGACCGATCGTGCTAGTGACCATGTCCTGCGTTTTGTAAAAGGTCAACGGATTGTTGTCCGTATTCCATTTAAAACGCCGACGGCCGAGAAGAAAGTGGCGCCACCGTTTGAGAACGGTGATGAATGCGAGTAGCTCTTTCTTCCTAGCATCGTCGAGAGTGTTGACGAGAGGCACCTTTTGGGAGAAATACTCAATCGGATGCCAACCGTCCTCGTGACACTGTTCCAACACCGCACCAATACCGTATCCCGAAGCGTCCRTAGTCACTTGGGTGGGTAGGGTGGGGTCRTATATAYGGAGGGCAGGTGCGGCTTGCATCGCTGCCTTCAACGTASTGAACGMGCYACGGGCTGYGTCGTCGAACTCGAAGGGCACCTTCGGGGACTGAAGTCTCGACAAAGGAGCGGCCACTTTCGAGTATGACTCGACGAATCGCTGATAATATCCAGCCAAACCCATGAAAGAGCGGACATCCGTCGTGCAACGGGGTTCCGGCCAATCCACGATGGCTTGGATCTTGTCCGCTAAGGGACGAATGCCTTTCGGCGTAACATAGTGGCCCAAATACTCAAGCTCTTGCTTGGCGAACTCGCACTTGTCGTGGTTTGCTTTGTACTTGGTCAGTCGCAAACGATTCAAAACAGCGCGAAGGTGTGTGATGTGCTCATCCAACATCCTGCTATAGACCAAGATGTCATCGAGGTAGATGAGGACGTTGCGATCGAGCAAGTCGCGAAACTCAGTCGTCATAGCTGCTTGAAAAGTTGCAGGGGCATTGGTGAGGCCAAAGGGCATGACAACCCACTCAAAATGTCCGTACCGCGTCTTGAACGCGGTCTTGTACCGATCTTGGGGCTGGATTTCAATCTGGTGGTAGCCCGACTTCAAGTCCAACTTCGAGAAGTACGTCGCGCCGCCTAACCGCTCAAGGAGATCATCAATCCGAGGGAGAGGGCCGGCGTTCTTTACGGTTTGTGCGTTAAGTTTTCGATAGTTGATGCATAACCGTAGATCTTTGTTCTTCTTCCGTACGAAGAGAACAGGTGCACCGTATGGCGAGCAACTAGGGAGAATCCAGCCCTTGTCGAGAAGGTCATCGAGTTGTGCGCGAAGCACCTCGAGTTCCTCTTCGCTCATGCGGTAGATATATCCACACGGAGGGACGGCGCCAACCTCAAGAGTGATCTCGTGACGTATGGGCTGATCCGGACCTGTTCCGGTAGGAGCCTCGAAGACGTGGGGAAACCCGGGGAGGGGTACCTGCTGTTCGTTGAAGCCAGGGGGTACAAGGCCTGTCACTTCATTGCCCCCACTTCAGAGGTCCTCAGTGGCCAGCAGGAACTTTTAGAAGCAGCAGACTCCCTACAGAGCTTAGTTTGCTGCCCCGGTCATGATCGAGAATTTTAGAGAGTTCTAATAGTGAAATTTGGATACCTCTCAGTTCAAAGTCCACAAAGAGGAAAACCATGCACATGCGTTAGTACATTAATCATGCTATGTTCTTGCATTCGATCTCTTTGTCTCTTCTCACGATACCATGTTCGTAAGCATCCCTCCACCAATAGTCCTTCAGCAAGTAGTAAGGTAGAGATCTTTTTACTTCGTACATTACCCGAATTCAATTTGACGACTCTCCTCTCGACTCAACTTACAAAGGCAGGGGGGGTTGATAGGAAAAGAAATGTACGTTCACTCTCAGTCCTTCGTTTGCCCAGACTCCAGCCTGTACAGAAGAGAGACAGGCAAGTAAATGCCAATCAAGAGTTGAGGAGCGAGGGGATGTAATGCAGAATGCCGCTCAGGTCTGGTTTCGGGCTCACGTCGAATGCCGCTCAGGTCTGGTTTCGGGCTTACGTCAAAACTGTCGCACAACACTCCCTTATCCCACAGTCAAATAAAAGAAGGACACAAGAACAGACTGGAGAACGTTACTCGTTCACTCCTTCTAGAGTTTGTAGGACACACAAAGAGAGACAGGCAAGTAACTGCCAATCAAGAGTTGAAGTCAACTGTATTCAAGAATTCATCCGGCATGTATGCATAAAAGTTGAACGTTGCAGTTCGCACAAAGAGAGGTAAGGAACGAGTAAACGCCGAACACAAAATAGTAGTGAACACAGTCCGAACGAGCAACGTTCTCCCTCTCACTGTCCTCCTATCCCCTAGTTTCTCTTCTTTCCTCTACATCTCCCTCTTGCGGTTTTCACTTACCCTTAGTCTAATTAATGCAGGACACAAAAAAAACAGTCGGGTGTTGTCTGCTCACCCCCCCCCTTTTTTCCTCATCCCTTCTCTCGTGCTCGCTGCCTCATGTACACGGCGATCGCATAGAGTATTCCCTTCGGAGCTTCTAACTCACTCTCCCTGTGCCGGGAGATCCAGAAGAGACCAGGCGAAGAGTCGATCCAGCAAGAAACAAGCTTGACTTTTCCCGCCCTCAAGCTTAGCGAAATAAACAATGATATCCTTAATGAGACTCCCCGTCAGCGGACCCAGTCAGCATTTGAGGGGTCAGTCCCTTGCTACAAGTTTACAGGATAGACAGCGGATCAGTTCCACCTAGTTACTCTCTCCATCTCGGCGTCACTCGGTTGCGTGACTTCCGAACGGAAGGTCTAAGCGAAGGTTCTAATTCGGTTGAAAGAGCGATACCCACGAAAGCCCAGCCCTTCATATCTCGGCGGGTCATCGGATACAACAAATACCTGTAATCGTGCTTTCTCCTGCCCGATGTCGTTCGTACCTGAGATGAAATGAGAAACTCTTCACCTCGCGGGACCCATGATCCCTCAGTAGCGAGATCGACGTAACAAGCTGTCAAGAAAAACGGAAGCCTGAGCACCCTTCGATGACGATGAAGGTTCACTGTGACAGTTCAAGGGCTGCCGGCGTCAACGGACTCGCTTAGCTCGTGCCTCCTCTTCTCTTCTCTATGGAGCAAGTTCTTACAGCGGCTCTAATTCACACAGAGGTCTTCGGAGGCTTACCGCGCACACGTGCCGTGATTTTTTCGACTTTCCCCCTCCCTCTCCTTCTCCCTTTTCGCTCGCCTGCATCCCACCGCAGGATACCGCTGGCACACTCTCCTTCGAGCACGGCCGGACGCGCATGCTCGGGATCGCGGGCACAGGGGCGCTTGTTCACAAGCACGCTTATCGCAGGTCTGCAGAGTGTGTGCGGTGTTCGCCTAGCTCGATTCGCAACCGCCTGGACCCAGACGCATCCCCTTCCGAAGGCCCGGCACACCGTGCTCGTCTCCCCTTCTCTCCGCCTGCATTCCACTATGAAGTGCGTCGGGTGCACCGTGCATGCTCCCCCCTGCAACCGCCCATATCCCCTATGTAGCCTTCGGTACGCCCGGCTCATGCTGTTCTCCGGACATGTGCGACGTGGCTGAGTGTTCTCCCCCGTCTGCCCCAACCGCCTAGCGGCCCACTAGGTTGTGCACTCGCGATATTAACCGAGCCCGTATCTCACAGCGATTCTGGCCTGGTACATGGGGACTCAGTCTCCTGATAATTGTATCCTTGGCCTCTGTGTCAGCATTCTTCCTCCTGGTACCTCTGCGCGGCCCCGCAACGTACGACGGCAGATCGTGGGCTCAGTGGCAAAAAAAAGCTGGTCAGCACAATTCGACGGGGCCTGAATCATTGAGTTGGGTACTGCAGCAGCGGTGTCCTGCTGAGTGTTTCAAATGCCCGCTCCAGGTTAGCAGTCTCTAGGCGCGGCCGTTATAGCCAAGTCAATCAGGTGATCCCTTGTCATAGCAAGACCAACCCGGTCGTGGGGTGGCGGCTCGGTCTCCCCCCCCTTCAAGCCCGGCCAGATCAAGGCATACCCAGGCTGTTCCAGCCAGAATTCAGTACCGTTCCAAAATGTCCACTTCCCACTGGGTCAGGGGCATGTACCTGTGTCCACTTCCAACTGGGTCAGGGGCCTGTACCTGTTCCAAAATGTCCACTTCCCACTTCCAGCCAGAATTCAGTACCCAGGCCGTTCCAGCCAGAATTCAGTACCTGCGGTCAACCACGACCTCAGTTCTTCACCAGACTTGACATAACCATTTCAAAATTTCCCAGTCGCCGACGTTGTCAATAGCCGGACTAAAGCGAGAGTGATACTTGTTAACACCGCGGCAATTTCTGGCCTGAGACCACGCAGATGCTTGTGACATTTCAACGTCGTAACAATGCAGGGTCTGGAACCTGTCGATGCAGACCCAAGACCGAGCCTGAAAATGATGCCGCGGCGTGTACCATGCCAATGCCGAACCAATATCGTATCGGAAACATGTCGAACACGGCAAGATCCAGCGGCGCGGTAATAGTACCGATCCTGAAGTAAATCGCCGCAATGATACCGGACCTGAGAATAAGCTGCCACAATGGTACCGAACCTGGAATAAACTGCCGCTAAGGTCTCGAATCTGAAATGAACTACCGCAGTCGTTCCAAACCTGAAAATAAATCACTGTAGAGGTTCCGAACCTGAAATAAATCGTCACAGTGGCCCCGGACCTGAAAATAAGTCACCCAGAGGTTCCGAACCTGAAATAATTCGTCGTGAGGGCGTCGAACCTGAAACGAAACACCGTGATGCCACCGAACCTGACCAGACCCGAAATCCAATGCCGGCTGTTGTGCCACGCGGATGCCGAACCCGTACAACCGTGCCATGATAATTCCGTACCTGTCCCGAACCTGATATAGAATGTCGCAACGTTTCCGAGCCTGAAACAAGTTGCCGCCAAGGTTCCAAACCTGGAATAAGTGTCGTAGTGGCCCCGGTCCTGAGAATAAATCACCACAGCTGTCCCAAACCTGACAATAAGTCACCATAGTGAAACAGCTGTCACCGGGCCCATACCGAACCTGGAGCACGTCAGACACCGCAGGACGTAGCCACTCCGTAACAACCCTCGTATCCGTACCGAACCAAACACCATACTGTCGACCTAAGGTAGCACCACCCCAGGTTGTCCATGCGACTCCCGCTCTCAGAACATCCCGACTGCGGTAATGTTAGTAATCAAGCAAACCAGGGAAAGCGACGCAGGGAACCTCGACCATCGGCAGTAGTGAAAACTGTTAAAATCCGGGGAAAATGATCAATCTGGAATCAATGCTGAAGGCGGGTAATCGAGGTGAAATTAGGCCAATCTCCCAATAGTCATGGGTTCCCGTCCCTTTCATCGTTTTTAATCATTCTCCCCTTTTCTTAATTCTATTGTCGGAAATAGTAAATTAACCATAAGTTCCCCAATATTAAGTTCCGAGAGGGTTTAAATAAATGGCCGAATTCCTTTTGTTTCTTTTCTCTTTCACCATTTTTAATATTTTTCTATGTTTTTAATTCCATTGCAGGGAACATAAAATAACAAGGGTATTCCCCCTAGAATTAAATGTCGTGAAAAATAAAGACATTTAGGGATATTATGTTTTTTCCTTCTCCCCTACTGGTGTTAATCCCTCTTCCCCATCTTTAATTATGGTACTAAAATAGACAAAAAATTGAGGCCTCATTTCGGCCCCGGTCGTATGCTGCAAAAACGTTACAGCGAGGTTTGTTCCCACGATGCCTCTCCGCGGCAGGCCGATCCGGGTCCAACCCTCTAAACGGCCAGAAATGACGGTCTCCAGATAAGCCGGGTGCGCCCACCCATCTCGCTATCTTTGAGGGCTACTCGTAAGGTTCAGTGCGCTCAAAATCTGGGGTGTCATGAGTTCCCCACATCTTTGCTGCCTGGTCAACCCGGAGTACCGTCAAAACGCGGACTTGTCCTTGAACCTAAGACCCAAAACCGTAGATTTCAGGCGGCGCACTGCTTGTGGCCGCCTAACAACGTCTCCATACTCGTCCAAGAGGTGAGTGATGCGTGGGTCCGACGGTGACGCGGCTGGCCCGTCCGGCGAGGGGAGAGCATGCAAAAATACATGGCCCATGTCCTCGACGTCATTCTGAGTTATGGTGTCGCGAATTCTCGCAACGGAAACCACGTGACAAGCAATCGAAGTGTGAGTGGTCGCGACCGTACATGGGACTAACACTCCGTTCCGATCACGGATGTGAACGGTTCGATCATGAAAGTTCACCGGATGATCGGCGCTACGCAACCAAGACATGCCTAGAATCATGTCGAACTTGGTGTCGAGGATGTCAAAAGACAGCGGCTCGCACGCAAGTGGCGCAAAGTATACCGGAACGTTGTCGACGCATCGGTCAATCGACTTTTGCGTGCGGCCGTCCGCGAGTGTAACTTGCGTGGGTTGCGTCTTTCTTCAAACGCGCGAGCCAAGGCCTGCGCGGGCCATAAAGGCTTGGCTCATAAAGTTGCGAGACACAGGTTGCCTTTCCGATTTGAATGCGGATATAGAGCAAAGGAGCGTCAGTTTCGACGTACTTTTGGGTGGCGTACTCGCAGTCAATCTTCGCAAGATAGGAGCGGAGATCGACAACCGCTACTCCGTCGTCCGTCAACGGAGCTGGTACTGTAGCGTGCAAATAGGAGCGTAGATTTGCCATCAAGGCGTTGCAATGCGGCCTTGGCAAGGTTCCGGTTGAGGGTAGAGGCATCCAAGCGAAGTCCTCTCTCGTGAGCGGGTCAAGCTCCTCAAGTCTTGACCACGCCGTCGAGTCCTCGGAAATTAATGGTGAACTGACCGGATCACTTGCTGACGGTGTACAGGTTGCGCATACGCAATCTAAGTGCACGTGGCTCGACTGGTCTGGTGGTGGTAACAGATGGGCGGCATAATCCTCGTACGTAGCACGAGAATCAGCGACTAACGCATGCTCCCCGGTAGTGACATCGATTGCTAGCAAGGCAACCGGATCCGGCGGAGTGAGGAGAGACATCCCCCCTCTCCTTGCGTAACTCAGTTTCCCGAGTTCGTTGGACGGGGTACGCGTGCCTTGCCCTTTTCGGGGCACTGTGCGGTCAAATGAGTGACTCCATTGCACCAAAGGCAATATCCGTACCGTTGACGAAGGTCATAGATTTCCTTGGTGATCTTGTATGTCGTCCATGGCTGCTGCCCAGTTCCCGTCGATGCCGTCTCTTGTGTCGCCTTGTTCTTTCGAACTCTCTAGGGACGCTTCGGCGGGAGCGCTGCTACAATTCCTCCATCACTCGAGGATGCTGCTGCAGTGTGGAGATCGACTGTTTCGTCAGAAATCACGGCATTGTTATGTGTCGGTCGTTGATAGCCTGGCTTAGCCACATAATGCGGCTAGGACTGCCGTTCGTTTGCGGCCTTGTCATCCGTTTAGATGACCAAGTTCGCACGATCCAGGATAGCCTGGAATGAGGCGTAATCATAATCGTTGTTGAGTGCGGTTCGCAGTCCTGCGCATGATCGCGAGAAGAACTCGGATCGTTGATTGGTAAAACTCAAATCGAAGCCTGGCGTGGTCACTATCTTTTGCCACTTGGTTGTCCAGTCTCGAGTTGGCATATTCCCTTGAGAGCAGGTGTACACCTCGTTCATGGCCGCCTTCACGACGTTGCGGACCATGAACCGAGTAAACAATAGCTTCTCGAACTCCTTCCACGGGATGTGCGTGTGGAGTTCGGCGATGGTGCATTTCTTGATAGCCGCCAGATGGTTCATCCAAGTCTGCGCTCCTCCAATCAGCTGTAAGTAGAGCGCCTTCATCATGTCGTCAACCGGGAAAGTGCGGCAAGATGCTTCCGTGAGGAAACGTTGCCACCATGTCAAGGCGTCCGACTTGTTGCAGTCGTCGAACTTGTTGATGTCGAAGTGCGGCATCTTGTAATTCTTTGTAACGGCGTCCGGTCTTGTCTGCAGGTTGGTGATGCTCGTCTTGATGGCGGCCACCGTGCTGCTGATCGTGGTCGGACTAGTGAAATCACCTAGTTCGCCAATGATAGTGACGACGTGATCGATGCGCTCGTTGAGCTGCTTCGTCGCGTCCGTCGAGCAGCCTGGTGCTGCTGAGGCCGTAGCCTCGATGCCGTTGACGCGTGCGATGGTGGTGCTCAACAGTTGTTGCTGTTGTTGCTGATGTGTGGCGGCAGCGCGAACAGCAACTGTTAAGGTTGCAGAATCATTCTGCTGAATCTGTCGCAGTTGTCTGCCCTCGTGTATTTGCACCATTAACATCATATTGTTCCACATGATCGCTCGCATCATATTCAACATCAGGTTAGCCAGGTTGCTCCTTTCTTCCTCCGCCGGTGTCGGGTTCGCTTGTGTATCCGAAGGCACAAACAACATGCCTTGGAGCAGTGTCGTCCACTGACTCTCATTCATAGTTCAGGACTCCATGCAAATGGCGTTCCACTTATCTCGCACCACGGCATCAGCCTCAGCAGTCCGCTAAGCTTGCGCTGCCGCCTCACTGGCCAGCCGCTGACGTTCCGCCTCTGCTGCCTCCTGTGCCTTTGCGGTAGCTACGGCATCCGTGAATGTCTGTACTCGCTGAAAGTAAGCCGCCAATGGCTTACTGGCCCCTTGGACCGGGCATCCGGAAAGAACTCCGGTGGTAACCGGTATGGTCAATGTTGTACTTGATGCCGCTGGAGTCGTCCGCCTGCTGAGTCTCTGAGCCTTGGTTTTTGGAGGTACCATAGGTCGGGTACGAACTGCAAGCCTGGCACTGCGTCGTGGCAGTGCCCCGGTGTCCTGTTCCATCAACATCAGTGTGAACTGATGTGGTACTTGAAAGGTCCCGGTAGTCACAGATTGTGGGGAGGGTAGGGAGAGTAGGAACAGGGATAGAACAATCAAACAATTTGCATACAGTCCCCTGTCCCACTGATGGACTTAAGACACCTAATCAATAGAAAAAATAATTTTTCCGTAAACAATTCAAAAATTCGTAATAAAAAAATAATAACGATTTATTTAATCAATAAATTTTAATTAATGATTAATACGAAATAGTCATTCTTAATGATAATCACATAAAACAATATTTGCAATAATGAATGATAAACAATTTGAATTGTGTCAAGATTAGGTATCCATTGAGATCATCTTAAGTCCGGGAGTTCACCGTTAATTAGTGAACTACCCGGAAGTTGCAATTCTGAGGGTCAGCTACGGATTAGTTTGCCAAAAAAAATTCGGAAAAAAACTCAGAAGCAAAACACTCGAATTTTCAAAAACGTGAAATTTCGGGAATTTCCACCGTCAAAATCCGATTTTTAAAGGCCTAAGTCCGTTTTCGAAATTTCTCAAACAAGAGAAAGAAAAACAATTTCGCGAAAATTTCGGTCCCAACCCTAATTTTTCGCGTTTCGGTGGAATTTTCGGATTTACGGTTCCAAAACGTTCGAATTTTCCAAGTTGATCAAAAACCAAAAATTTTGTAACCCTAATTTCCACTACTGCAATAAAAGCAGCATGTCGATTTAGAAAACGAAATATCGGATTAAAATCAGAATGCTGAATTATAAAAACGGAAAACGAAAACAAAATCAGAATGTCGAATTAAACAGAGTACTGATTTCAACCTAATCACGAATCAATAATCAGAAGTCCGAATTCAACAGTATGTCGGATTAGTATCAATTTATCAGGACTCAAATTAAACAGCATACCAGAGTAAAACAGAAATCCGAATTACAAGTCCGAATCCTGAATTGAAACGGAAATGACGAAATAAACAGAATACTAAAAAAAAGAAAAAAAAAATTGCAACTTTGAACTCGATAGTAATACAAAGTTGATTTGGAAGATTGAAGAAGCAATCTAATTTCTAATCAGACTTACCTGGTGAGCAGATCCGTAAAATGGTCTGCTCCGATACCAAAATTGTTGCATACCCGTGAGTATATCAACGGGTATGGGGCAGAACCAAAGATCAACCAATATAGGATGAGGATGTATGCAGCGAAAGTCTGAATGACGGACTGACTCACATAGATTGACTCACACAGATATCACTCCACACACATACAATCGTGAGATGGTGGGGTCTGAGCCATACATGGAAGATGCTCAGGCCCCGTACACACATACACAGATGAAAGGTGGAAGGAGAGACGAAGGAGATGGGGGAGATAGACAGCACCGAAGGTCACCGAAAAAGAATCCGACAGGTCAGCGATATGGTAGTCCAAAATGTCATCAAACAAGATCAAAATGTCGAGGACAATTAGTCACTAATGTCGGAGTTACAGAGTCCAAATGTAACCGGTGTCCGAACTGTGATGCCGCCGAGTATCAACCCCAACAATCTCCAAGTCTCGAATCCGGTAAGTACCACAGTCTCATACCACCGAAGTCCAACATTGGTCTATGTCCAACTAGTATGAAGTCTCCAATCTGAAGAAGAAGAAGAAGTCTGAAGAGGAAGAAAAAGAAGTCTGAAGAAAAAGAAGAAGAAGAAGAAGAAGGGAGTCGAGGAGGAGGGAGAGAGAGAGGGGACTGGCGACGGAAGGGAGGAGAGAAACCCCCGGCCCCCAGTACCTCAGGCGGCTATGGGCGCCAATATGCCCAGTCCCGCTGTTGCTGCTTCGCTCGCTGCCGCTCCTGCTCCTCGCACTACTCCGCTAAGAATAGCGTTAGCGCTCTGGCGCTAACCATAACGCACCGCATGGACTGTCGGTGGTTCGATGGCCGGAATGAGGCCGGACCGGTACCTTTGTACCGGTGGGCAGAGGCCGGCCTCTATGCTGCGAGGCCTGGTCGTGCCCTGAACCGTCCAGATGGACGGTTCAACCCCAACCGCGCAGGCGGCAGCCTCAAGAGGGACGCCAGGCCCAAACGGTAATGTCGTTTGGGCCTGCCCGTCGGGTCTGGTCCAAGATGAGGCCTTTACGGCCTGTATTCCCCAAGGTCGGGCCTTTAGGCCCTTCCGGTCCTAAGACGGACCCGTGTGGCGTCGAAGATGTAACATGATCACTGTGCACTCAATGGCTGGCCTCTACAACACCATGGATTTAAAAAAAAAAAAAAAAAAAAAAAAAAAAAAAAAAAAATGGAGCAGTTAAAAAAACAAGAATATTTTATGACGTTCATATATACCACTCAGTAAAAATATCCATATACATTGCATATGGATTCGAACATGTATTTCAACAGTTCTTGGGTGTATCAACTGATCTAGGCCCGTTGGTGTACCCCTTTTTTTTTTTTTTAATACCATTGAACTCGCAGTAGGGACATGACTTAGAGTAGGTTGGAATAACGTAGGAACTCTTGGTGTACCACTTTTTATATATATATATATACCATTGAACTTGCAGTAGGGACATGACTTAGAGTAGGTTGGGATCACGTAGGAACCCTAGATAGAAAGTCGGGTAATGACACCGGTATCTCAAGTTTTTCCGTATATGTTCTTTAAATGTTCCTAATAGGACGCTGGGCCTGGTTCCCAACACGTGCGGCTCCCCGCGAATAGATTGGAGCATTGTTCCAAAAAGAAAAGAAAAAAAAGTGTGTCGACTAGGCTTTCTCGAGTCTGTAGATGCAGACTAAAGTATTTTGGCAAAGAGCAGCCCAAACCTGCATCCAGGATTGACCCTGAGCCACTCAGGGTTTACCTTGTAAGCTAAGTTGGATGATGCGTCCAGTCCTTCCATCCGGGTTGTTTGTGAGGTTTCAGGGCCTCGATTCCAATTATTGAATAAAATGATTATTTAAATTAATATCGTCAGACAGGACTGCTCGGTAAACCATAGGCAGAGAGGGAGAAGAGGACAACAAACGAGGGGTTGTGACAAACTGTTTTGTCGGAGTTTCACAGACTCATCAGGGGGTTGAACCGTCAATAGTATGCAGAATCCTCTAACCGATTACATTGGAAGTGATAATCCACCTTAACCCCGGTTGTGGCTAAGCATCAACGACTGCCCGACAACGACTGTTCGACAACTGAGGTGGGCACCAACCACTACCCTCAAGGTACCTGCGGCGAAAATCAAAGAAGACGATCACTCACCCACACCAGATGAAAAACTCTACAGATTGTCGGTTTAGAACTTTACACCCCATCACAAGCCAGCAAAACACCCACGAAACAAAGAAAGGTTTATCACAACCCTAAAATACAGTCCAAACACGCCGTTTGTACTAGAGCCATAACATGGCCGCGTAGTGACGACCCCGACCACAAATGCTCAATGTGACAGGAGAAAACCGTAGCAGTGTGCTATTGAAGTAGTGGTGTGTATAGTCAAACAAAACTGCGCAGTAAACCGTCAACAGTCAGGGAGAAGAGAGGACAACAAACGAGGGGTTGTGACAAACTGTTTCGTCGGACTTTCATAAGGAGGCTGAACCCTCTACAGTCTGCAAAATCCCCTAACTAATTACATTTTAAGTCATAACCCACCTTAACCTCGGTTGTGGTTAAACACTAATATATATTAGTCGAAAAATGGTGATTCGTCAAAGGATGCAAGATGAGAAGGAGTGGAGAAAACACTTTGAGCTAACATCCTACGACACTAAATTAATTCATGTCATAAATATCGTCAAACAGAACTGTCCGCTAAACAGAAGGAGAAGAGGACAACGAACCAGGGGTTGTGACAAACTGTCTCATCGGGTTGTCCGGCACCAGGCAATTCAGAAGTTTTCTGCTCTGTGTAGAGTTCGAACTCAAATCTGTACCAACTGAGGGCATACTCACGCTAAATGTATCAGACTGACATTACGACTACGCCTGGATGTATCTGACCGTAATCACGTCCAGAGGTCAGTCAACAATGTCCGAGTCTGAGGGCGTACTCACACAGCGGTGGCAGTCTAGCAAAATCTGCCGAATTTTCTTTCCAATGTTTGTTGAAATAATACCCCGCCCGGTCACACATGGGTTGCAAATCAGAAAGGACACGAGCGGTGTCGAGCGCATCCGTTCCCACCTTTTTGCAAAGCACGCGAGCCGTCACGGCTATGTCCCGTAGGAGTAAAATAAGACCAAGTTCAAGAGACAACTTAGGATGATGCATAAATAATATTACGAACTGCCAAGACGGGCGCGATTGCATCGTCCCTTCGCCGATTTAGTCGGGTGCGTCAGCTGTACATTCCACGGTCCTCTACGACAGGATAGGTTTTCGTGGGGCACATCTTGCCTTCCCTGAGGGGCTGTCACCACCCTCAGGGGAATATCCCTACTGAGCTACTGACCCAGGTAGGAAAACTTTTGCGTGCAATTGCAGAGGTAGGTCGGTCGAGGGCGTTTGCTCGTTCGCTGGAGTATAGGTACACTTGGTTAACGCCAAGTGGACCCGAACGCTGTTCGTTCCCTAGGGCGCTGATCTCCTAGGCATGAAACGAACGTCGGGCGACTAGGACGGTCTCAACCAAACGTGAAACCCATAA